AACGCGAATCCAATTTCGTTTTCGTGCATTATTTCTAATTTTAAAGATTCCTCCGAGCCTAGGGAAAACCAAATATGCGTTTATCCTGCCTTTTGTTACGAAAATGGCTCGGTCTTCATACAAAACCTATGATCTTGTAAGGCTAAGTAAGAAAGGGCTAAGTAAGATTTTTCAATTTATATGTTTTACGTCTACCTCTGTATATATAATATATTCTATTTATTATTATATTATACATAAAAGTTGACCTTTAAACACTGCTAGCTCCTGGACTTGTTTTCTTTCATAATGGCTATATTCATGAATTCTATGAAAGTATTGGGCGTATAAATAACATGACACCTATTAGTGTCACTGTATTGGGCTGACTTAATTGACCTCAACTTGAAATTTTTTTTTTATTCTGTACTGTTTAAAGAGTACAATATATAGAAGAATAAGGAAATATAATGTTATCGAAGCTGCATACGTGATGGTGACACATGAAGATTTGCTGAGCCAGCCATGCCAATCTACCACAAGAAAATAAGCTCCCATTTAATGTTGCAAAACATTCAAAAGTCGCAGTTCATTAATTCAATGTTGCTTTCATCGTCCACCCCCATGGGAGGGGTGTGGCCCAGACGGGTGGGTGTAACGAAAAAAAGCAAAACGAGTCGGCAATAAACTAAGTGTGGTATCATGTCCGGACGGTTATCGGAGATGTTGGCCGTTGTCGGCAACGCGGAACGGCTTTTAAACGGAGTACAGTCGAGCACTTTGTAGATAAAAGTTTACCAATAGTACGCCGACGCCACGCAAATTCACGACGCGTAAATAGGGCAAGATACCAGGAACTGTATCGTGTGTCAATAGGTGACAACGAACCGCGAGAGATAAACGATGTATATTTAACAATCACTTTGATAATAACAAATAAGAAAACGAAAGATTATTAGACGCCATCAGACGGCATCTTATAATTCATAGAATTCAAATCTAAGCACACCAATACTGCAAGCAAATTTATTGTAAGTAGATAGGACTAAATAGTTTTATTCAACGCAGTATGCGAGCGTGGGTTAACTGTAATACTAGGTAATAGCTACCGATCGAGCCGAGGTCCGGCCCTCTCGGGCACCCTTGAATCGGAATGCTAAACGGATATTAAGTGACAGCCCAAGCCGAAGCCCCCTCTCGGGGGCCCTTGAGCCTGGAGCGTCCGCCAAAGCGCCCTAAGAGCTTAGTGGCCTCTCGACACGGTAATGATAATAATAGCGTGACGGTCCGAGCCCTCGAGCTTAGTCAACTTAACGCGTAAACGGTTCAGGCTAGGCACGCCGATCGCCCGGCCACCTCAAGTCCTGCGGATCTGTAAAGGCCCCTTAGGCCAGCAGTGGCACATCCAGTTAAAAAAAATCTCACTCGTTTCCGTTACATTATGTTACCGGAAAGAGTTCAATATTCATCATTCATTCACCGAGTATAAAAGCCAAAATGATTATATAAGAGTAATATAAAAGTACGGACAACGAGTCTGTAGGGGAAGTTTGTTACCATAATAAAAAAAAAACATAGTTTCTTGACAATCTATAGTAATTTTTCCATAAAATATTTGATAATAAAAAGAATATATTCTAGCATTACAGGAAAAACTGACTTGAAATTGCATTGGTTGCTCAGCCGGCACTTGCGCGCAACTGAACACTGGTCTTTCTTGGCTACCGGCTCAAATATTTTCTTACAATATTATTTTTACAATTTATATTGATTAAAAGAAGACTTTATGGCATTATGTATGCGGGGTTATTGATAGCTTCTAATAATAGTTGTAAGGAGCTTATATATATGATTAAACTATCCTGATACACCTGGGGCAAAAATGGGAACGTCTAATAACCCAAAAAGTTCCATGTCGGCGAATGAAATTATTTTACTTCCTATTTCTTCGAAAGTTCAATAGAAATGAAAAATATAGTAGGTTAAGGTCATAGCAAATTGAAAAACACTCGCGAGAGAAATTCGGCTGAGTTTCAAAAACCGGATGTACTCGTAACTCTACGATACGCAATTACGTTTCTGTCAAAGGATAAAATATTAAACGTCAGTCAAACATCGCATGCGGTCGAACCGAATGAGGGGTCTGCTATAAGGGAATAATTAAAAAAAGTCCATTCCCATCGCGTGAGGTGTTTTTGCCTTTCAGTGCCTTCTACACACGATTAGTAACTACTCAACTACGCCGTTGTAGTGGGGCATTTAGAAGAATGTTGACAGAAATTGAACTAGACACTTATATTTTTTATGTGAGAAGGTGGCAAACGAGCCGGCGCTTCACCTGACGCTAAGTGATAACCGCCACCCATGGACATTTGCAACACTGATAGGGGTGCGTTGCCACCTTCTGATTAAGCGGGCCCCGGCTACCTCACTCATCAGACATAAGGCAGAAGTATAACACTTCCACTTCACGCCGGTGTTCTGCGAGGTAGTGTTACTTACCCGGACGGACCTGCCCATTCGTGCAACAGCGCAGCCTATATATGCCTAAATAAAAGTGTATATAATAAAATACAACAAAAGTATCTAAAGAATTTATAATTAATCCAATTTTAAGTGCTCTAGTCTCCGCACTTAAGACGAAACTTAAACCAACATTGAGATTTTAGTTAAGTTAATATATAAGTGAAATTATAGTTACCAAATTTAAAAATTACATTTAATCATACCGAAAGTTTTTAGAAATTTAATCATAACTTTCGAACCTAAGAAAGCTAACCTAACGTTATTAAATTTAGTAAAATAAAAATACCATAATCATGCCTTATATTTCTTTTTTTTTTTTTTCTAAGGGTTAGTAAGGTCTTAGTTTGAAATATAGGTAAAGTAACAGCCTGTATATGTCCTACCGCTAGGCAAAGGCCTCCTCTGTACAGAGGGAATTAGAACACAGTTTACCACGTGGCCCCACTGCGGATTGCCAGACGTCTCATATCCTCTTTTTTTTGTTTGTACTTCGAAAATATGCAGGTTTCCTCACAATGATTTCCTTCACCTCTGAGCTCGTGATAAGTCAGCACTTACAATTAACATTATTAGCTGCACCGGGGATCGAACTCAGGTTGCTCGAGTATATAGAATTAAATGCGAACGCCCGGACATTGAGCTATAGCAAAATAGATTTATTAAAAAATGTTATCAGCGACCATTATGTCAATTATTGTAATTCCTCCAAATGTATAGTATGTTTAGTTCGCAACTAGACTATTATTTCGCATGTGAAAAGAGCACTCGACCCTAATAGAATAATAACAAACAATTTTCGTTAATAGTTCGTGTTTGGGGTAATATAACAAATTAATTTTTATAATTGGTTTTGCATAATTTTATTTTATTTAGCTTTCATGCTCCCGTTATATGTTTAAGATCAGTTACGTATCGTTACTAATAAAACTAAAGTGATCTTTACTTTTGAATTGTATCGCTATTGTACTACGACAACAAAAAAAATTGTGTGTAGTATAGAGTACTTTAAAAATCATAACCGTGATTTTTTATTTTCAATTTTAAGATAAATGTTATGTTTACCTTTAATTATTATATAAAAAAACTAAGTCTGCCCGGACAGCTAGTATATAATATATATGATAGATGGTTAATATTTAAGTTTAGTATATCTTATATTTCCAGAGTCCACTGGAGGAGAATGCTTATTAGCATTAAGTTTGCCTTTTGTATAGCCTTAAGTTGAGGTGTAAACAATAATTTTTTAAATAAATATAAATTATTTTAATGTGTTTAGTTGGTGAAATTAATTAAAAAGTTAAATAAAACTTGAGGAATTAACTACTTCAGTGGAATGGAATGGTATTCGAAGCTCAGCTTTGTGGTTTAATTGAAACCGAAACGTATCCTGTCATCCGTAATCGGATGACAGTCAAGTTTTCCGATTAATTAGCATGTAGTTGGGGACTTCCCCGCAATCCGAAGCGGCAGTAGCCGAAACCTTCCGTCTCTGATCTAATTTGGTCCGATTTTGAATAACTCCGTTGGTCGAGTTCTCATTACGTTACTTACAAGTTTTACGTTATTACATAAGTTTTAAAGGGAGATTGAATGGGGATGAAGAGCTTATACCATTTCCTGCACTTACCGATATTAGTGGACTATAGACCATGAAGCAATAAGAGAAAAGACTAGGAATTTTCAAAATAGAATCATCCCTTGTATGGTTATGGCTAGACACTATTCTCAGAATCAATAGGTACTTCTATGTGTAAAAGATTACCTAATACTTTAAAGTTTCTACTGGAAAAATTAAATTATATTGTTGACGATTATGATATAGATGTAGAAACGTGATAACGTCATTATAATTAATCATAATGTTAAAGTTTATATAAACTTTAATGTTTTAAAAGTTTTGATATCGTTTTAAAATTAATTGTATTTTTTTCGACAAACATTTTAATAATTATTTTGTGATATTTTATGCTTGATTTTATTTTTAATGATGAGATTTAACTTTTGTTGATAAAGTTTTTGTTGCAATTTTATATAACTGTAAATTTGGTTGTGTGGAGTTTTATTTCTTATTTTGCATGAAATATTCAACACAATTTGTATTGTTCAGAATAAACAACAGCAACAATAAATCAATGAGAGGCTTCCCTCTGTGTTTTATAAAATGTTTGATCGTTTATCTACCAAAATTGAAATTTTCAGTACAGAGACCAGCAGCAAAAATAAATAATAACTAATCCTGAAACATTTGTTTTGAGACACTTACCAATCGAATCCTGGTATCCATGATTTAATTTAAGGCCACCTTTAACGTTATAAACTACAACTTTGAGAGACTATTTATCTCGTCGGGACCGTACGTGTTCCGCGTAAGGTCAAAGGACCGGGTAATTTTATTTGGTATCTTCAGGGTGGAAGTTCATGGATATTTTTATTAAATTAGTTTATGTGTGTCTATGGAAGGAAAACGGGGTAGAAGGAGGTAATCTCAAATAAAGATGAAAACAAATTTTGATTCCTATAGAGAGGTAAAGGAAAGGGAAAGGGAACGGGAAGGGGAAGGGAAGGGGAATGGAAGGGGAACGGAAGGGGAAGGGAAGGGGAACGGAAGGGGAAGGGAAGGGGAACGGAAGGGGAAGGGAAGGGCTTTGATCAGGGAAGATTGGGAGTGTTACACAGCTGAACTACTGGGCACCTTTGCACTGTTGCACCGACAAGAGCCTAGCTCTTAAATAAAGAGATGTGTGTCTACACTCAGATTATTAACGCGTCGTATTTCAAAAGTGAAAAAATAATTAGTAACCGTTTTAGTGAACTGTAATCAGGTGAGAAATTGTCATCATGATGGTTAACTTTTTATTCCGAGTATTAATTATTACGAGTACGAAATACATTTTGCGAAGTGAGTTGGCGAAATTGTAAAAATTTTCGTTCTAAGAACTAAATAAGAATGAAATAATCCTTATAACAGCTATTACCGTTATTCTTAATTATGAAATCCTCAAGTGTTTTAGCAATCCTTGACGTTGTAGTTTAATAATTTCCCAACGGCACTTGTAATGTTCTTTTATTATTTAATAATTGCCTAAACTCTGTTACACTGAGCACAGAGCTGCTTAAATTGTAATGATAATGGCGAGATCTCGTGCGTGGTGTGAATCATCATCGTCTAATATTTGTGGCTTCAGAGAGCGTCTTAATATTTTGTAATATGATTTAATTCGTTATGTTTCTTTTGGAACTTTATTTTTTTTTATTTTAATGTGAGTGTGGCAAACGAGCTGGCGGTTCACCTGATCTTAAGTGATAGTCGCCCATGGACATTTGCAACACCCGAAGGGTTGCAGATGCGTTGCCACAGAAATTTTACACTCCTACTTCACGCCGGCCTTCTGTGAGGTCGCGTTACTAACCCGGACGGACCTGCCCATTCGTGCAACAGGAAAACTGTTGCGTGGCCCTAGCATCCAGTTCTTAATAGAACTTCAATAATCATTCAGTGGTCAAGGCATTGGCTACGGCGTCAGGGGTCGTGGGTTCGATCCCCACACGGGTCATTTATTTGTGTGACCCACAGATAGTTGTTTCGCATCTGGGTGTAAAATGTCCTTACAACGCAGGATAATGTTATTCCAAAGTAGGGCTATGTTTTTAAATTTAAAAAAAAATGTTGTTTTTATTAACAGTTTATATATCTATATCATTCTTATAAATACATTTATTTATTTTTTTATCTTTACGGCCGGTTTAAATATTCAATCTACAGATAGATTTGGTTACTAGCGAAAGGTATTTGACATAAACTCCATATAATTTACGTCAAATATCTATATCCTACTAAGAGATAGAATTTGGACTACCAAATTTATCTGTAGATTGAATATTGAAACCGGCCGATACTGAATAATTTTTAATTATCATGATTTATCACTACATAGTATAAAACAGTCATCCCGCTGTCTGTCTGTCCCTATGTATGCTTTGATGTTGAAAAGTACGCAACGGATCTTGATGCGTTTTTATTTACTAGATAGAGTGAGTTAAGAGGAACGTTTATACTCGTATGTATAATATTGCAACCGCATCCGTTCCGCAACATTGCATCCGTGCGAAGCCGGGGCGGGTCGCTAGTTTGTTAATAATTCCTTTTCCTTTTCCTTTATTTTTGGAACTGAAAAGATCGGACTAGGTAAATGCATCTGGATATTAAGATAGGCATCTCCTTGAACCATCTCTTGTTCGCGTGCATTGGATCGGTGAGAGCTTTCAGGAAGATTAAAACTTTTACAGAGCCTGAAAAAAAGGCTAGGGAATACGTTTTGAGATAGTGTATCGACGTCGTGACAACGAATGTAGAACATCATTTTTTTCTTGCAAATCACTTTTTCTGGGCGCGGAACCAGAAGACTCTGATTCGAATCCCGTAGCGGCAAAAGTTTTTGATTTTCCAAAAAAAATTATCTTCAAAAATTGACCATGTCCTCGTATTTGACCACAATATTTGAATGGAATTGATATACGTACTGTAATAGAGATATTCAAAAAGAATTAAACATTTCACTGGCCTCATTTTACTTGTGAAGGGTATTAAACGTCCTAAACCACTTAGCCACCCATATCCATGAGATAATAATCTCTTTCATGTTTCATTAAAACAGCCTCCTTTGTCTCGTCTTTGCAGATGAAGCTGGACAGTGAGAACCAAATGACGTTATCCTAATGTATAACAAGGATACATTTGATCTTTTCAACATATGTCATAACGAAATTAAAGTTCTAGCAGGGAATAAATCTGGAGCAAAAAGATTACATTGAACGTATTACATAAAATGGCTTAGCGAAGGTTCCTTAAGAATTATTATGTAATAATTGAAATCAAATAAAATCACTTATTCATCGATATAAAACAAGTCCTTATTTTCAACCGAATTCAAAAAAGGAGTAGGATATAAAATGGACTTGTTATTAACGAGAAACAAAACCGACTTCAAATGTCTCGCTCTGTATTAATTTTATAATTTATTTTCTGGAGTTCCCTACCTCTATCTAGAGATCTAATACCAATGACGCACCAGCTTTCAAATAAAAAAAGAATCATCAAAATCGATTCACTATGTCGAAAGTTCTGAGGTAACATAAACATAAAAATAGAGTCGAATCGAGAACCTCCTTATTTGAGGTCGGCTGAAGACACATTTCTTCTGTCGATAGTCATTTTTTTTAATCTACCACCGTTTCCTAATTAGGTTCCTCTAACGGAGAAGGAACGGCCGAAAGAAACTCCGTAGGTATTCTCTGTTGTTTCTTTGAAATAAAATTCAACACTTTCAATTACGTATACTAATTTTGCTTAACAAATTCTGGACATGGTTAACTGAGGTTTTTTTTTTCTACACTTAATAAACTGTAGGGTATTGAAAACAAAGTCTGTGTAACTGCGACCGACTGGTAACACGTTCCTATGTAGCTTTATTAAAAAAAGTAAAAAGTCCTTTTAATTCCTGCCTGCTTAACACTGTTTTAATTATAATATTCCGGTGCAAACAGTAGAGACTAGACTTTTTAGTTAATTAAGTCCATGGTATTTGAAACAATCAGGGCATGTAATAATATATAAGTATATTATCCTCTATACGAGTAAGTTGAAAGACATAAATGAACTTACGAATTTTATTGTGTTCACTTTTTGTTTTATTTCCGTCGTTTTAAAGTGATCATTTTGTTTGAATTGATCATTAAGAAGATCATTCTGATCAATAATGAGAGTTTAATAATCCTTTTGGCAATTTAAACAACATTTGAAAATCCATTTGACAGCTGGTTAGTTGACTTCTACAATGATCGGTGTTTCAGAAACCGGGCGTCAGTAACGAGATAAAACTACAATTAAACCCGATTAAATCGATAAAATAGCCATATCTAATGACCTTTTCAAATCATTATAAGTAGGTAAATGAACAAACTTGCGACCGGTGTATGGTGAGAATATATTTAAATATTTTAGGACACATTTTTACACAACATTTTCCAGTCGAAAACTAAGCTTGTTCTATGGGTACTAGAAAACTGATAAACATACTTAAACATACTTTTCTTTTGTAAATAAATACATATTATACATCTTCACACAATATATTTGCCGTAGTGGGGATCGAACCCACACCCTCTGGCGCAGGAGGCAGGTACACTACCCACAACGCCATTCGGGTAGTCAATGAAGCATGTTCATTTGTTAAACATCACAAACTTTACCTCACACATCGCGGATTCAATCTACTATACAGTTTACTTCAGAGATTCATGATGAAAAGTTAGTGTTTCTTAAATATTTTGCTTAAACATATATTGCATACACTTCAAAAAAGTGTGAATTGAAATATACTATAAAATAATCTATACCAAATTGAAATTCACAAGCGAAATGTAACATAATATAACATATGTTCATTTGTTCACAAAGAGTCTATTACTATGTTAAATATCACCTAACTGCCAATATAGCACCACCACACGATGAAAATGTTGAAATTATTAATTCATAGAACAATTATTGCATGGCTGTTTCACTGAAGTCTACAATTAGATTTTCCTATTTGCTTCGCCAGTATAGTAAATATAGTTAGGGCGAGACAAACAATATACGTAAATAGAGTTTTGTCTCGTTTATATTTCGCGTTACATTTTGATAGAGACACGTCATCAACATGTCTCTAGTCTCTTCCATTACGATTTCAATGTATTTAAACAAGGTAATTATAATTCCATGTCATATTTTACATAACATTATATAGTCTCAAACTAAGCAAAGCTTGTGCTATCGTCACTACACTATATTTTCTAGTAGCGGGGATCAAACTCACAGTCTCGAGACAGTTTCATTATCCACTACGCCATTCGATTCGTCAAATCAGAGTATCTCGTAAGATATTTCGAAATAAGCGATATAGGAATTGTCAAATCGTCATATCGACTTCATCGTCATATCATTTTCAAGGACTCAATTACCTAACTATATATGTTTGTAACCTACCTTAGATATTGAGTAAGACCGCACTGACTTGAATAAGACCGCACGGAAACGTTGTAAATCTAAGTGTCAATAGCGTGCTAATATACTGCAAGAATAAGCTACGAAGTTACAAAAAGATTAACTGCGACCGATAATATTGTAATTTACAAAGAAACGCTCACTTAATTCGAATTAAGTTTGTTAAGTACTGAAGTCGTTAGCGACGTTCTGCACCACTTTTAGAGTTCTCTTCATATCTTCCAACTAGGATTCTCTGACATAAAATAGGCTTAAAATAGTAAAGACGTCTTAACGACAAGAAGGGTCGGCGTGGTGGGCAGTGGATGTGGCCTTGTCTTGCAACCTGTGGGCTTGGATTCGAATACAAATTGTATTCAGTTTTTATTCGGTTTTCTTTAATGCAAATACGACTGTTTAACATTTGTGGCAAGTGTAGGGTGACAAGACTTAGAAACTTGTACTCTTAGGAATTACAAAACAAACATAAATTTGTTTTTTTTTCTCACACCATTACAACTAAAAGTTAGTTGATTATAGATTTTAGAGGGCAAGTAATTTTGTAAGTTACTAATTGATTGCTACAACACCTACTTAAATTCCACGCCTACTTGTAGTTAAATCTTACTTGTTGATGTCCTTTTTGTTACTTCTTATTTGCGCATCCATCACTCGATAAAATTTTCATAAGTTGTTTCTTTAAACTCGTGTGCACTTAACACTTCCTACTTAGATCAGTAATGTCATCGTTAATTCCGAGTAAAAGGAAAACTATGGATGCAAAGACAACTCTTACTCGTGTGAATCATACGTTTTTTACTTCGGAACTATTTCCGATCCGACACAAACGCCTTTTGCCTCCGCGAGCACAGCTAAACCGCATTTAGTGCCAGTAGGATCTGGGTCGGTTCTTTAACACGTGTAGCATAGAGTTCATTTTCCCCTAAACGACCACATGAATGCACGCCGAGTATGAATGGCATGGAAAAAGTACGGAGCCAGTTTAAAATGCAATCGCGCACTCGTTGAAGCCGTCACGGTGTTTCGAAAAAACCCACTCTGAAAACTGAGCGAAATAACCATGCTTTAACCCTACGCTTTAGACGAGTTTCAACATAATTTCCCCCGTGATGACGGTTGTCGTATTTAAGGGATTTGAGTTAATGTAAAAAGTTTCCACTGTCTAACCTAACGGGATTAAAAGTGGGAGTTGACCGGAGCTTGAATTATTCGGATTTCTAATTTGCTAAAAGCATCCGTATTGTGCCTAATGTTAGCTATCTGGCTAAGTGTAAAATATACCACAAATAAGTACGTCGTAGATTAGTATTGTCTGTGTCCATACCTAATATTTGTGGTATAAAAAAAGAGTTTCTTTCACCGGTTCTTCTCAGGTCAGTGGCTTTTCTTTCCAAACCGGTAGTAGCGTTTTGACCATCAATAAGTAAGTGTAATGCTTCTATATTGTATAAAAGTATTTGATTTTTGATTTTTTTTTTGCCTAACTTTTGTATTATTTAGCAAGCAGATTAGCTCCCGATGAACTCTGACAATTATTTTATTCGGAAAATACAGCTATTATTAATGATAATAGCTGCATTTTCGGATTGCCCCCGATTTCTCTGGGATGCCATCACCACATCTGGGTTTCCTTATCATGGTACCCTTGGATATCTCCTTTCCAAAAAAAAGAATCATCAAAATCGGTTCATAAATGACGAAGTTATCTCCGAACACACAAAAAAAAAATAAAAATATATACGGTCGAATTGAGAAACCTCCTCGTTTTTTGAAGTCGGTTAAAAAGCAACAGTAAAGCTAATTTTTTTTTATGTTACAAAGTGCCACGAGCTGGCTGTTCACCTGATGTTAAGTGATAACCGCCGCCCATGGTCACTTGCAACACCTGTAGGGTTGCCGATGCGTTGCCACCTTTTAATAAAGTGTGCCCCGGCTACCTTACACAAAAGACTAAACGCAGAAGTATAACACTTCACGGCGATCCTTTACGAGGTCGTGGTACTTTATATTTATTTATTTAAAAAAAAAGAAACATTGCCCTTACTTTAGGATAACATTATCCTGTGTTGTGAGGACGTTTTACAAACATAAATTTCACGCGGACAAACACCCAGATTCGGAATAATTATCTGTGGGCCACACAAATAGTTGTCCCGTGTGGGAATCGAACCCACGAACCTCGACGACGAAGCCAATACCTTGGCAACTAGGCCACAGAGTCACGGAGTTCGGTGGTTGAGGTAGGGCCACGCAGCTGCTTTTGATGTTGCAGGAATAGGCTGACTTGTCCGGGAAAGTACCACAGCCTCATAGAAGTCTGGTGTGGAGTGGGAGCATTATAATTTTGCTTTTAGACTGGTTTTAGTGGTTGAGGAAACCGATTCACACTTGTTTGCAATGCATCGTATCCCACAGGCATTGTAGATCCTTGGGTGGCAGTGTAATCTAAAATCAGGCGATAAATCCTCTCGCTTATCAGCTTATCGCATTAAAAATAGAACAAACTGTATCACGTATTTAATTAAGTTACATTTGAAAATGCCCATCATTTTCTATACTCTGCATCATTATTGAACACCAGATGTCAGTTAAAAAATATATTAATTTAATATACATATAGTGTTCAAGAAAATGTAAGTCATTATTGTGCCACGGCTCTGAAGCAAAACTGTTAAGTACCTTTACTTTCTTAAAGTAGACAGAAATAGAATGATGTTTCCGTCTCCCATAGATTATAAACGAAAATGACGTCGTGATATACGCTTAAATATCTAGGGAGGGCGAAATCTGTCTTAAAGTAACGAGGCGTAATATCAAACCATTAATTTCAAAGCGCTGAAAGATGTGTAATCTCAGAGTAGAGCTAAGCCGCTTACAGCGCACGTAATAAGAATTCTAACGGGAACTTGCATTATTAGGTCTCTTCTGGCGGAACAGAAATTACCTAGGTCCTGTACCCACCTAGGTGATTATAGTGTTACGTTTCCATTAGGTTTGGCTGTTTTTTTATAAAAACCGACTAAGTGCGGGTCGGACTCCATCACAAAGGGTCTATAAAAATGGCTAAAAAATCATGTCTGTTGTATGGGAGCCCCACTTGAATATCTTTTTAATCTAATTTTTACTATTAGTTGTTATAGCGGCGACAGAAGTACAACATCTGTGAAAATTTCAACTGTCTAACTATCACGGTTCATGAGATACAGCCTAGTGACAGACAGACAGTCAGACAACGGAGTCTTAATAATAAGGTCCCGTTTTAATCTTTAGGTACGGAACCCTAAAAATTAACTCAATATTGCACCTCGTAACTTGTAACACTTTAGAAATAAACAGGGTCGTCATCAATATTAACTTTTGAAATTAAATTACTTTAATTGAAATTTGTGCATTTCCCCGCTAAATAGTTATGGTTAACCTTTGGGCGTCCAGGACAAATGGCACAAATACATAATTTTGTCATAAAGTTAATGTGCCAAAAGCTTTCATATTCACTAAGCTCATTCCTGCCATGGTCATTTCTGAATTATCTCATTCTTTCATATTAAATGTCACATTACAAAAAGTACGTATTTACGTTTAAGATATTTACATTGGCAACTTTAAAATTATACAAAAACTTACCCGCGAGCAACCGGGTAAACAATCCAGTCTTAAATAAAAACAAACCTCACCGGAATTTAATATCAACGCAAATTCAAATAGCGAACGTCGGTTTATGCAGCTATGCGATTGAATTTTAAACTAGGCTCGCATTCCCAACAGTCCAGTGAAAAGCGGCGGCTTGTGGACGGAATGTCAACTTTACCACCTCGTAATAAGGGTCACAGAGGGTCTGCTTATATCGGCCGTAGAAAAACTCCATGTGTAACGCGTGTGCTAAGTCGAAAACTATTCTCCGACGAGGAAACGCGACGGACGTTTTCCGGACGCTACCACTGTATTTATTGATACAATGCAAAATTGTTCGAGCAATCCTGTAATTCGCGTCCGATACAACTTAAGAATCTCAAAATAAACAGCAATTTCTTTAGCGTTAACATTATTTTAATTTGAGTTAGTAACAACTATTACAAGTTTTGTTATCTTTGAATGTATTACTTGAAATCAGAAATGAGGAGAGAGGCTTCAGCAATAGTGACGTGTTTAGATTTTAATAAAACATATCCTTTAGTTACATAAAGTAAGAGAAAATAATAAAAAGAAATATATAAAGTAAACATTAAACTTTCAAGAATATTAAACTTTTTAATGTTAGTTAATAAGCGTGTGCGTGAATTTTCTAGAAGCAATAATTGTGATATACAATGTTACTTATTTCACTTTTTAATGTTAGTTAATAAGCGTGTGCGTGAATTTTTTAGCAATAATTGTGATATAAGAGTAATCTTATTTATATCATCTGCACCATATACCACATACCATAAGTATCGAACATTGTCCAGTTATAAAAAACAGAATAATTAGAAACATAATTTTTTTTATATTTAAAAATTAAAAATGTTTTGCCCGAAAGCTTCTAATCACGTAAAATGACTGACTAAAATCACGTGTCTACTGAGGGTTTGATAAACAAGGTGTTTGTGCCTTCTTCCTCATTTGCCAGCTCAGTGCTGTAAGACGAACATACTTGTACCGTGTGATCCAATCCACGATTTCGGTGCCGAACCCAATAGTTACTACCGAATTGCTAATAGGAAGCGCTGGAGTATTTTAAAGTTACAATTAGTAACTGCTAACACATAACCATATTTATAACTCATTGTTCCAGTATGATGTGTCCTTCGGTTCTCGTCTGCGTGCTGTTCCTGGGTGTTGCGCTTTGCGCCCCTGAGAGCATCCAGGACGGTGAAGACCGTGGGGTGCCGGAGACGCACGGCACCCAAGATCTGCGCACCGCCCCCCTCGAGAAGAGGTCGCCACGCTACGATTTCGGCCTAGGCAAGCGCGCCTACAGCTACGTATCCGAATACAAGAGGCTGCCGGTCTACAACTTCGGATTGGGTAAGAGGTAAGGTTCGTCCAAAACGATTGATTCACACGATGTGCCGACCCCACCATGGTGGGATAAGAACAGGAGGATGATGTAACCAAAAACTTGGGTTGTGATAAAACTTTATGACCTTTATGGAGTGTTTCTCCAAAAAGGACAAACACCCAGACTTAGAGAATCATTGAATGAATGATAATCAAAAGAATTAGAGGAAGATCCTCTAATTCTTTTGAATAATATGAACCAAACAATGTAGAAATTGTTCACCCAAATGCAAAAAGCTTATCTGCAAATCCTTGGCGCTGGCGAAGACCTTGGCGCTGAAGAATCCATTAAGAATCTATATAATTAATTTTTTCTTATTAAAAAAAATATGAATACTTTAAATTAAATTACTGATAATATTTTCTTGAAAAATCATTCATACTCTCCTTTCAATTCGCTAAGTGCGTCGTGACTGACGATAGAAGAAAAATAATTTAATTAGTTCTTTAGCTCCTCTTAGAAACGTTACTTCCATATAACATTAGGAACCAGGTATAATACCTGTATACGGATCCTGAGCCACCTGCATCCATCGACTTCCCATTCATCGACTCCATCTAGTGGGGGGTCGTCCTACACTGCGATTACCAGTACGAGGCTGCCACTCGAGAACCTTTCTTACCCAACGGTTATCGGTTCTTCGTGCTATATGGCCGGCCCATCTCCACTTCAGCTATGTCTGAGCTATGTCGGTTACCTTGATTCTACCCGGTTCTACCGCGTCTTCGTTACGAACTCTATCACGCAGAGAAATGCCGAGCATAGCCCGCTCCATAGCTCGCTGAGCGACTTTGAGCTTCCTCATACGGCCAGCAGTGAAGGACCACGTCTCGGTTCCGTAGGTCATCACTGGCAACACACATTGATTGAAGACTTTAGTCTTCAAACATTGAGGTATATTCGACGAGAAGATTTGCCGAAGTTTCGCGAACGTTTGTATTTATAATTAAATACAAACGTTTAATAGAAAAGTATAATTGTAATACAACAAATATTATCAACTTCACAAGAATCTTACAGAATAACAAGAGATTTGTATCTAATAGATAAAAGATACGTGCAAAATTAAATTTCCAGCCTGATTTGGAAAAAAAGCCAATCGTTAAAATATCTAGACTTAGGCTGAATCTCAACTTATCTTTAATGTTAAAAGCAACCACAAGATACTGAGCGGTAATTCACAATTCGTAAAAGACTGTTAACATTTCCGAATAAAAGTAAGTATTTACACAAACTAAGGGGTTATAAAAGGTTCTGGGTTTACGACGCGTACCGTAAAGCTTCCGATGCGATGCCGCCAATGCGGAACAGTAACGATACAGTCACGCACAAAAGCCAACGTTTATGATCTGTGATAAATTTTTATTTGAACTTTACACTTTACATTTTTGCTGTACATCGTAGTGTTTCTGTTTCTGAGTGTGAAAAATGAGAATTCGTCTCGTATTCACGGCCAGTTAAATTATCTGATAACCTTTTATATTCACACGAACACAACACATTGTAATCTGACATTATTTTTACGGATCTACTGCGTCTACTTAAAACTTAAGTCCCACACCTTTGGAATGTTTTTCAGTATAAAATTATCTTGTAATCTCATAAAAGACACTTTTCCACTTGTAAAAATAATAGGTCAAATTTTATTTTGGTCGATCCCAACATATCTACATATTCCTCTTATAGCACAAGATAAAGGTGAGCATGGTTGTATGTCAGCGAGTAACGATTTATAATGAGCGTCAGTCGCAAATGTCGTTAGGTAGAATTTACAATACTTGCAAGTCATGCATCTTAACTTAATGTTAATTCTTAGTTTTAATATTAATTTATATACATAGAAGTTCAAAATAAATGTTAAATCTCTTGTTTTATATCTTATTATAAAATAAAAACTCGAGAACCCTTGAAACTGGTAATTAAGAGTCAAATTTATAAAGAGCCCCTCTCTTATCTGATGACCCTATATTAAAAGCTTGAGCTTAGTTTGGGGCATCAGTCTACTATAATATGGAATGTTATAAAATCAACAGGTACGGCCATCATTAATTTATAAAACTACACTGTGGTGAGAAATAAATAATAATTATTATTACGCAAATGATATTCTGTGTTCACCAGTAGTTGGCACTATAATGTGTATTATTTATTACCGGCAAAATATAAAAGCTATAAAAGTATTAGGTTGTTATGATCCTAATTAGAGTCAAGATTGAGAGAAATCTTTCAGAAGATACGCGTTCACCAACACACTATGAAGCGGGAACGTTTTAAAAATAGCATCATTTACAGGTCTCGGCTTTACTCCTTCGGTCTGGGCAAGCGATCGGTCGACGAAGACAGCGCCAGCGATGAGTTCATTTCTGAAGTGGACCAAGCCAACGTTCCAGAACTCTTTGACCAGTACGACGATGCTGCAGGTATACCTTTTTATGTTAATTTCTTGATAGCAAATATTACATGGTATATGATCGTAGTGTAGTGGTTATCCATAATCACATTAGCTATTATTACATGGCGAGCATAATTCACTTATAAGTATTGTAACACATGAAAAGGTTACATTAATTGATAAATTTGGTTTTGTTAAATTTTCGTTCAGAGAAATTACGCAATATTTGCTACAATTAGAAGTATACGGCGTAAACTAGCATAGACATTCCTTATCCTGAAATGGAAAATATTACCGACTTCGTTTCATTAAGTTGACATTACTTGATACTTATTTACAGAAATAGAAAACTTAAATACTGTAATATAATATTAAAAATATCGGCTTTTTTACAGTTAATAGTAAAACAAAATATAATTAAAAGTTTTAACCAGAAACTTGGTCAATCTTTATAAGTGGTAATTACAAATGATGAGGGATGATATTGGACAGGGAAATTGTAGAGTTCAAATTATGACCATATTGCAGTTTACGAGATCAAGCGCGCCAGGCCGTACAGTTTCGGCCTGGGGAAACAGCATCGCCGAGGAGGTGGGGGAGAACGGGGAGGACGGGGAGAAGAGAGCCAGGATGTACGAGTTCGGCTTGGGGAAGAGACCGCAGCTGTACAATTTCGGCCTCGGCAAGCGGGCCAGGGGCTACAACTTCGGCCTGGGCAAGCGCTTGAGCAAGTTCAACTTCGGCCTGGGCAAGCGCGAGAGGGACATGCACCGATTCAGCTTCGGCCTCGGCAAACGCTCCGACGTGAACGGCGACGGCGACAATTACAATGACGTGTAAATTGACTACAATCTCGGTACGGATGGAACTCACGTGATGCGTCGCTGATAAAGGAATCGATATTTCACAATATCTATCGTAACAGTTTTCGGAATCGTAAACAATCTAAATGAATGATTATTTTTATGACTTATTAATTGGTTTGATCCGTTTCACCTTAAAGTTAATAAACATACTTTAGTAAAAAATAATTTACTTATCGTATAAATGAATTTGGTATTGTGTTTTCCAGTTATTAAATATTTTAGTGAATCACAGAAAGCTTCGATATGTGAAAATCCAAAGTAATAAATACACAGTCTTATGCTAGCAAAAGAATACGGTATCTTTTCCAAAATTTATCAGTATATTCACGTGAGATCCCATCCTCGGTGTTAGTAATTAATGATTGTTTGTATTTAAGCTCCCGACTGGATTTCATCAAACGTATGCCAAATGTTAAACCTTGCAAAGAGTTATATATTGTATAGAACGGATGTAAGGAATATTTTGTAATCTAATTCAATTATTCTATTATCGCATTAGTTCTTATTAATAATATTAGGGATCGATGATTCTGCTATTGAATGTATTAATACATTAAATATCGTTACTTTTGTATATTACTGTTAATGTGTTGTAGTTTTTTGTATAGTTGATTAAATAGCATGATGTCGCAAGTAATAAATTTTAATTCATGAAGTTACGGTTTTGAAGCTGAGGTAAGGAAAAACATTCTGTATATATTGTCTACCTGCTTATATTTTCTTGTAGTACTTGTTATATTGGATAAAAGTTATTAAATCATTGTTTTGGTTTTTATCAGACTTCCACAAACTGGATTAGTGATGACAATTCTTATCATCACTTATTATCACATCTTAATCTAAATGTCTAAATAAACATTTGGAACAGAAATTGTAATACATTAACGGAGACATTTAGGTGAGATTTTTCGTACCAAATCTTATGACAATTTTGATTTGATCTGATAAAGCTTGATTGGTCTTTCAACTGCAGTAATATCATTTGATTAATTTACTCAAATACATCAATATTCATACGACTTCGGCATGGATTTTGACATTTCCACTCCTATTAGTTCATTGTTCCGTGGGACTATCTTTAGAATAACTATAAATAAGTTTCTTGAAGACTTTAATTAAACGAAGTGTTGTTTTGAATATAACTGTTTTACAATGTAAGTTAATTATACAAATCATAGAAGGTGGCATCATTATTTGTTATTTCTTAAAGAACCCCTCACTTTCCTTACCTTACAAAACAATATAATTTTCAACAAAAAAAAAACCGACTTCAAACCGAAAACTAAAAAAAATTGTTGCTAAGTATAACATTTGAGGATTGCCCTTGATTTCTCTAGGATGCCATCATCAGATCCGGGTTTCTTTATCATGGTACCATCGTTGGGATATCTCCTTTCCAACAAAAAAATAAACATCAAAATCGGTTCATAAACGACGAAGTTATCCGCGAACACACATAAAAAATATATATATATATATATACGGTCGAATTAAGAAACCTCCTTCTTTTTTGAAGTCGGTTAAAAACTTTAAAATGGGAAAGTATTCTGGATTTTGATAATGGAACGGTCGACGATAAATCGCAGAACAAATGGTGGAATCAGGAATGGTGTTTATTTGTACAAAATGTAATTATTTTTGTTATCAAAATTTATTTAAGGGAGCATTGAAATGTTGAGGACATTTCAATGCTCCCTTAAATTTTACCCTACGCATCTATTCTATTTAATATGCATAATAAAAACTATCAAGAGACGTATTTGATGGTTTTAAAACAGAAAATTAAGTACATAACGCTTTCTGTACTCATTGATCATGCAAAGCTGACAGTAAGCAATGTTGAAAGTAAGTAAGATAAGCAAAACAAACAGTGTATTAGAAGCCTCACAATCATGTTAGGTTTTTATTTGGGAAGGTGATAAACGATCAGGAGATCCACATGACGTTAAGTAATTACCCCCACCCATGGACAACTAACTCACCAGACGGAAGGCAAAACTACAGATGAGGTTTGTGAGATCTACGTTCGTCCTCAAAAAAATCTGCGAAAAATGCTTAGCCCCCAGGTATATATATCCCCTAATACCCTATAGGTAAATCTAAATACTCAATAACCTACATACTTATATAGGTCAGGAATAAGAGAAGTGGACGGTGGAGTGAATCATTAAGATTCTCTCGCAGTATCCTATGAAAACTATTAAGAATGAAGACATCTATCATCATCATAATTACCGGCTGTGACTGACTGCCTTTCCTTTTCAAAAGGGACAGTTCTCCCATGATTTTTTATTGATATTTCCGAGTTTACTTAACTCGATTGTTTTCAGACAACAAACAGAAACTTAATATGTTTGCGTGCTGAACGGAAGCGCTTATTTGAACAGGCCCCTTTTGTCACCAATCCAATTGGGTCAAAGACGGTAAAACTACCGAAATTGGTTAATCAGGTTATGTGACCATATATATCAACCTGCGTCGATTTCGTTTATAATATAGTACTTATCTTCTTGTTCTGTATTATAAAAGTCACACATATTATTTTCCAGCGTTAGGTGTACAAAAGATATCAGTGCATAAAGTAATAATAATTTATTTATGCGACCAATACGAAAACGTGTTTCATTGTCATTATAAAAATGATACCATTAACTTCAGGTTATACGTCTTATACGTGACTCCGTGGCCCAGTTGCCTAGGTATTTATTGACTTCGGCGCTGAGGGTAGTAGGTTCGATTCGCACAGGGGTTGACTATTTGTGTGAACCACTGATAATTATTTCGGATCTGGGTGTGTGTCCACGTGAAATTTACGTCTGTAAAACGTCTTAACAACACTAGATAACGTAATCCTACTTAAGGGCAATGTCTTTAAATAAAACAACAATAAAAAAATATATCAAAGCGTCCATTTTCATAATAATTATTGGGACAGAATGTCGTCAACACGCCTAACATCTTCAGATTATTAAGGCCCATTTACACGATGCCATTTTCTTGTACATACAAGAGCAATAAATGAATGCAATAAATTGCGCGCAATAATTGACCATCAATTGTAAGCAACAGTTTACACGCAGATATAGTAAAAAAAATTGAATACGATTATTGTATGCAAGTCTTGACAAGAAATAATTGCAAATGTCTTTTGTTTACACCAATGCAATTATGTTTAGGCGATTATTGATTTCAAGTTTTGACTTGTCTAAACACATGCTTGTATGTGCGTGTACAATTTATTGGCGTGTTGCTTCAAGTATTGCACGTATTTGCGTTGACAAATTTTTCATGCAAGTGTTGAACGTTTTACAAAGGGCTGTTTTTTAAAAAAATGGCTCAATAATAAATGTTCAAGTTAGATTATGCCGATTAAATATATTTCATTGAGATTTATTTATTATGATCCATATATTATTATTCATATTTTTATCCAACTTTTTTTACGACCTTTTCTCAATATTTCTATCCTCCAAAGAACAGCCACGATTAAATTACCCTCACTCATTGCACTATTTTTTTTTTTAATTTTTCACAAAGGAAAAGATAATGCAATTGAATACAAGAATTGCTTAAGAAATTATTGTGTGTGCTGTTTACACCAAGGAAAGTGACTTGCTTCATGTTTTGAAACAAAACTTGAAGCAAGTCTTGTTCAACAGTCAAGAATGTTGTGTTGTTTATTTTATTTTTTTTTATTTTTAAAAGGCCTATCAACAACTGTTTACACTATATCTTAATAATAAAAAAGAAAAGAAACAATAAGTACTTGTATAAGTGTAACCATAACTTAAAGATAAGCACAGCAAGTACAGTTGAACATCATAACAATAGAAATAAAATTAAAACTATAAATAATGAAATAGTAAAAAAAAAAAAATGTGGCTTAAAATAAACAACTGTAAAATAAGTTAAATTAAATTATGGCATGCTCGGTATGTTTATTACATAAGGTAAATATATATATTCAAATTTTAAAGAGTGAGGTATACATTATTTTAGAAACTTTGGCTATTATGTCAACATGAAAATCTATTTGATCGCTAAAAAGATTAATTATTTTGCAGAATTTAATATAAGGGGAATTACTTCCCAGCACTGTTCTTCTTAGTGGTGGACAAAGTGGTGTAATAGGATTCTTATAGGTACAAGGTAGGTTTAGACAATGCAACTCATTTATTGCTTCAATTTAATTGTATATACCAGGCAAGAAACTTGCACCGTGTAAATGGGCCTTTAAGTGTTATTATGCGCTCAGTGGGGAATAATTGCATGCTAGTTTACTTTTCAAATGGTGTTGAAAAAGTTTAGATTTGGACTTACGGACTTACGCGCGATCATTCATAACTAACACGCACACAAGTTCGTGCACAGTAAAATTTAGGTATTTATGAATGACTACCGCACCGTCAACACGTTCTGTTTTTTTAGGGAATCGAATGGCATTATTTTTTGGAAAAAAAACTTTGTTTTTTATTTCAATAAAGGATTATACTACTGAGTCCGAACCTCCTGTGTAAATTTGGACACTTCTCAAAAAATCTCCCTGTTTATACAAAGATAGGTAGGTCTATCAAATTTATCTGTGAGCTATCAAAAATGAGGTAGTCAAACGAAAACTATGGCAGCAACCTGAACTAGGTCATACCGACATAGTCGTAAGTGACAAGTCGGTACAAATTTACAGCGCGCGCCCCAAACAGGTTGACGGTAAAATAATTTCTGATGTAATGTCATTTGCCATTATCGAATTAGCCGGCGGAATGATATGGTCGGTTGAACTGACAGCGAATAATCCATTTCACTAAACGCTGTACCTAGATAGGTTATATTAGAAAATATTGATCAATCGCAAGCGTACACATTACTGTATTATAGCCACATAGCTTTTGTTGTTGTGTGAATCGACTGGCTTGACCACCATAGAGAAGTACCACATCCTCACAGAATGACGTAAAATTAAAGTATAGTTTT